TTCTATGTCAAAAATGGGTCTCAAACTAAGACTGATAATTCAAAACATAACTTTTTCAGCTGGAAGTTGATTTGTGATAGTGCTTCGACTCTATTTCATCCATTCGGCTTCTTTCCCTATCCAATTGATGCCCAACACTCTCAAATCTTCATCGTGAGATCGACACAACTTTTCAGTATTTGCAATTGAGTCCTTGAACTTCCGTTTTCCTTCATTTTGGTCATTTTCGCTCGTTTTCGCATACATTTCATTTCGTCCATCAATGTAGTCCTACAAACACAATATCTATAGAATTAAGCCATATTCAAGCATTTATGTCAACAATTAGTCATGTAATGTAGCGAAATACACATTAGAAAACGCACTTATCACACGTTAACAAGTTTCATTTTTGAAGCAAATGTCTCGACAAAGCGACAAGAGTATAAAAATAATAACTATTTGATTATATTTCACCTTTGTGCAGTCGGAATATCGTTGAAAAAGGCATATCTCTAATTTTAATATCTATAATTGAGTTAAATCTTGGGTTCCCACAATTGCTTCAAAATATTTCTCTCCCTTTCTTAAGAAAAACAAAGTTGAATCAATCTTTCGATTCATAATTCTGAACTTGGAAGAAGAGAGAAATGATTTATTTGAATTGATTCATTGACCAATCTTTGGAATTTCATTTAAGGGAGCAATTTGACTTTCTCATATTTTTTCCTCAATCCTAGTCTCATTTTTCTATAGTCTCATAGATGTTATTTTTTTCTTTCTAATGGTATTACAATTTCTGTTTTAACCCAATTATTATCCATTCAACTCCCTCTTTTGCTCTAACCAAGTTGTCCGATGGCGATAGAATGTTTGAATTTCACACCTTCCTCTCATTATAGCTGCTATGAAATAGCTATTCTCAAGTTGCGCTAGCCTTTTGAACTATGGGTGATCAATGTTGCAGCAATTAATTGATTATGAATAATGCTTCTATTTGAATAACAACTTGCGCGTTGACTTTCACTCTAATTCATCCCCAAACCCAAAAACTATGGGTGATCAATGTCGCAGCAGTTAATTGATTATGAATAATGCTTCTATTTGATAATAACATATGTGAATAACAACTTGCACGTTGACTTTGACTCCAACTCATCCCAAAACCCAAAAAGTTTGTAGATCTCCTAGACCCATCTAGAAAGATTTTATAAAAATGAAGATACAAATAATATAGTGAAAATTACATCCATCCATGATTTTTTAAGTTCCTAATTCAAAAATAAGGTTTAGAGATTTTTTTTTTCAAAAACCAAGTGATAATTCATCTTTTAAATATTAATAATATTATAATTGAATTAATCTACACCCCCGCCCCCATCTCATCCCATCCCATCCCATGCCACCCTACCTATCCCAACTCAATTTCAATTCAAACCCCAATTTATTTCCCTACCTCTTCTCTCTACACATCCCACAATCTCTATTCTGGCGTCGATTGCCTCACGTGGCACAGCAACACCATTGCATGCAGTGGCCCCTCGCCGCTACTGTGCGAGTAGCGCCTTGTTGCACCAACGGTGCTGCAAGCATTATTCCGCATAGCCATTGTGTGAGCATCACCATTGCAGTTTGGTTTTGATTGAAACTAATGCCATGCTTCTTCTCTTTGCCTCGACGACAAGTTTGTGAACTTTTTTTAGTGGGGGTGGTGTAGATGGAGATAGATAGATGGTGGTGGTGGCGGTATTGGTGCTAATGGTGACGGTGGTGTTGTAGGTGGTGGGGTAGGTGGTGGTTCTGATTCTGGTGGTGGTGGGGTTGGGTTGTATAAAGATGGTTAATTGCGATCGAAAAAATAGATAATTTGTGACAATAAATAACATATTACCTATAAATTTTATGATTTGTAATTATGATGTCATAATTGTGACTAGTACATAGTCGTGACAATAAATTATATAATATTATTGTTTTAATATATTTAATTAATAAAATATTTTAAAAATATTTATTGAATTAATAAAAGTTAATTAATACCTGATTTTTTAAATAATAA